TCCTCAATATTATCTGCGCTCTCCACAGAAGGATAACTATTAAAAAGAAAGGTTCAACAGGGACTCTTGGAAACCGCCCAGAGGCGATGCCGAAACGAGGGCCCCCGTGTTGAGTCAAAGGTGAAGACTATCAAACGGGAGCGACGAGGGAGGACGGACGGGAAGGGGGGAGGGAGGAAGGAGGAGGGAGGCAGGAGGAGGGAGGAGACAGGGGGGACGAAAAGGGAAAGGAGGAGGGAGGAGGAGGGAGGAGGGAGGAAAGAGATGCGGGAAAGGGATGAGGGAGGGGGGAGAAGAGGAGGGGGTGGAGGGAGAAAGAGACGGAAGAGAAAGGGGGAAAGAGGGAGGAGGAGGAGGAGGAAGAGGAGGAGGAGGAGTAAAGGGGGAAGGAGGAGGAGGGAAAAAAGAGGGACGGAGGAGGGAGGGACGGAGGGGGGAGGGAGGAGGGAGAAGAGGAGGGGGTGGAGGAAGGAAGAGGGAGGAAGAGGAGGGAGGTGGGAGGAGGGAGGAAGAGGAGGAGGAGGAGGAGGAGGAGGAGGAGGAGGGGGAGGAGGAGGAGGAGGAAGAGGAGGAGAAGGAGGGGCGGCGCCGATGAGAGAACGAGTAGCGCGCCTGCCCAAGGGTAAAACAGGGGAAGTTTCGAGCGGGAGCGCTGGTTTTGTTGAGACGGCTGCTTTCGGCGACGAGCAAGAGCACCGGCCCTGAGTAAAAAAGGAGGAAGTATCGAACGGGAGCGTTGTTGTCGTTGTTGTTGGGGGGGCGATTTGGGCGGTCCCCCGAACCGTTTGAGAGTGAGCCTCATTTTCAATGAAAATGCAGCCAGCGCCTTGGCGAGAGCGACAGGGCGCCTATGAGGGGTCCAGCAATACTCATTGTTTAGCGATTAACATTTTAACGCCAACGCCAACACCAACACCAGCACAAACAACAACCACCACCACAACCACAACCACAACCGCAACCACAACAACAGCAACAACACCAACAACAGCAACAACAACAACTCCAACAACAACAACCACAACGACGACAACAACAACAACAACAACAACAACAACAACAACAACACCACCAACAACAACACCAACACCAACACCACCACCAACAACAACAACAACAACAACAACGACAACAGCAGCAACGCAACAACACCAACAACAACACCACCACCACCACCAACAACAACGACAACAACAACAACAACGCAACAACACTCCGCACCGCGGAACCCCACTTCAGCCGCGCGCCCAGGGACGGCGAATGATCGCCACGGCCCCTCACTCTGACAACAGCTTCCATCCTCGCTTCTCCACCACTGTGTCCCCGCAGCGTGCCGAGACGCAGAGGGAGGCCGGGCGAGGCCCAGGAGGGGCGGCGCGGGCGCGGCGGCGCGGTGCGGTCCCGCGCCGCGGTGCGGTCCCGCGCCGCGGGGCGCCGCGCTTTCTGCCGCAGCCGGCCTGGCCGCGGCGCGGGCACGGGAGGCGAAGTAGGCAGGAGGTCACAGGGGGGCAGGAGGAGAAGGATGCAGAGGAAGAAGGAAAGGCTACTACGCGGCGAGCGTATCATCCGAGCCATGGGCCTGCTTCTCTTTGCTGTCTCTCACGCCCATGTCCTTTTCACCCTTACGCTTGCCTCGGGTGATGTGTTGCACACTTCGCCTAAATCGGCATTGCAATGCTTCGTGAACTCTTCTCTCAGAACGCTACACTCTCATACCTCGAGTCCACGCAGCGCAAAGAAGGAGGACGCAGAGAAAGAGGAAGAGGAAGGGAGAGACAATGATGAGGAGGCAGAGGACGACAGGATGCCAAACATGAGTCGACAAGGGCAGGGGGGGAGGAATAAGGAGAGTGGACAGGTGGCAGACGAAGATAGCAGGCAGTGCGGGAGAGGAGGCGAACAAGGCAACATGCCGAAGAGGATCAGGAGGGGCCGGAAAAGTACGTGCGCGAGGGAAGAAAGATGTGGAACACCAGAGAACACCCTGCGACGGGTGTGGTCTCGCCTTCCAGGAGGAGTAAAGGTAAAGGGGTAAGCACGGGAGAGAGGAGACGGATCCGAGGATCGAGGTGATGAGGCGCTGTGATGATTCTCGGCCTCCCGCCTCTGCCTCAGGCCTCCGGGAAGGAAAGAAAGATGGATGCAGCATGCACCGCCGATGTACTGACGACGTCGGGACGGAAAATAGCGGACATTGCGTTGCATTGCCGATGCATCGGCGATGCGGCGGGATCCCCCGACCCCTTCTACTCCAGACTCATCTGGGAGGCCTGGAGGAAGCCCACACTGAGGCACAACGCCAGGGCCAGCCAACTCATCCCGAAGGAAGCCTGGGAGACCCCCTGACCAACGACGGCGTAATCTTGATCGCAGCGCGGACCCCGGAGGTCTAACCCTCAAATCTGTCGTTGCAGACAAATTGCAACACCGTCGAAGATCACGACCGGAGCCCCTAGATCCATCTGCGTCATTTTTCGAACGTGAGCGATCTGTGAGGGTCCCGGGGCCCGGAACTGGGCGAAAACGCGCGCGGTGCAAAATTGTAACGCCAAGGTCTGAGGGGACCCTCTCTCCTGGGACCCGCTGTCATCCCAGGTCACGTTTTCCTGGTCCCTGTCTGGGCTTCGTCAACGGGGGAATAGCTAATCGGGGATGCCCCCATTCTGTGCCCCCGTCTACGGCGCCCAGGGTCCCCTACACGGGGGCATAGCCAACCGTAGAGATCCGAATTCCCCGTGCCCCCGCTTGCTGTGCCCACGCGTCGGGCGCGCCGACCCTGGGCCCTGCGAGGGCTCCCGGGGACCGAGGGGGAAACGGCGCGCGGCGAGCTCGGGAGGCGCTGAGCCGCCCCACGGCCGACGGGAGCGCATCCGCGATCGGCTACACGCAGGAGTGACCCTGGGCAGAAGTGACCTTTGGTGCGCGGATTGAAGTGGGCGCAAAAGGGGGGCCAAACTCAACCGCACAAACCGCTGCTATCGCATCGCACTGAGCAATCGGGGGACCCCAGTGGGCCAGCACCATAGGTTTCTCCAGCGAAGGATCACTCTTACGCGTAGTCGTGACGTGACGAACGATTACGCAGCGTGCTCGCCCAGAGCCAGCACTAGAATTCATGCTCGCGTTGTTGCGGCCTCGCCTCGTTCCTGGACCCTGTGCCTGGCCAGGGCCCCCCGGAGCCCCGGGGGGGATTTGTAGGAGGGCCTGGACCGTCTCAACTCTTTTGGCTGAAGAGACACAAAGTGAACAAAAAGAGAGGACGAGAAAGAGGGAGGCGCGACGTTGTGGAGCGACTTCCCTTTCTCTGCTGACGCGCCCCTGTACGCCAGGCGCGGAAGCAGCCATCTGTTGGATTTCCGCAGTAAGGAATCCAAGGGGATCTTGTGGACCCCCAGTGATCGCCAGAGCGTGATCCACCGCTGCTTTACTGTAGAAAATTGCCAACCTTTTCCTCCGCAGTCCGGGGGTCGCCCCCCCCCCCCTCCGAAAATCCCCCCCCCCCCTGCCGGAACCCCGCCGCCCCCCCCCGCTCTCCCCGGCAAAACCCCCCCCCTCCCTAACCCCTCCCCCCCCTCCCCTCGAACCGGGGGGGGTCACTACCGGTTCGAACCCCCCACCCCCTCCGGATCCGGAAAACGGGGGGGGTCACTACCGGTTCGAACCCCCCCCCCCCCCGAAAACCGGAGGGGGGTCACAACCGGTTCGACCCCCCCCCACGCACCGCCAGCAAACGACTCCCGGTCCCTACCACCGTCCGCATCACATCCCCCACTGTTGTTCCCAGCGCCACTGTCCTCACCACCACTGTTCCCGCTGGTTCCACCACCGTCCCTACTGTCCCCACCAGTGCCCCCACCACTGTCGCACTGTCCCCTCTGTCCCCACCACTGTTCCCACCACGGCTCCATTCTCCCCACTGTCTCCACGGCCCCAACCACTGCCCGACTATCCCCACTGTCCCCACTGTCCCACTGACTCCTCCGCTGTCCCATTGAGCTGTCCCACTGTTCCCACCACTGTCCCCACCACTGTCCCCACTGTACCTCTGTCCCATTGTCCCACCGCCGTCCTCGCCACCGCCTTCACCACTGTCTTGGAAAGGTCGTTTACTCAACACAACTAAATGGCCACAGCCCTTGCCACATGTGCTGCCTGGAACGTTGCCTTATGGATTTCGCATATACAATGAGTTACAGAAGATGGTGTTATTTTCAAGCGGCGTCCAAACGAGCTCGGCAACATGATCGGACAACGGGTCGTGGTAACAATGACGGTTCGTACCATCGATCTTGGCAGCGACGCACGCTAAAGGCATAGCTGAATCAGAATGGAGGTGAGGAGGCCCTCTTTGGAAGGGCAGAGGCGAGGTTGAGGATGTCAGGGAGAGGTAAGTAGGAAAAGGAGGAGGAGGAGGACAAGGAGGAGGAGGAGGAGGAGAAGGAAGAAAAGGAGGAGGAGGAGGAGGAGGAGGAGGAGGAGGAGGAGGAGGAGTGGGGGCCATGGGGGACTCAGGTAGGAGCTAAATTGTTACAAACCTTCCCCTGACGATGAGCAGCAGCAGGCCTTCGACGGTCAATCGCTATGATTCCCACTGTCGCGCACTGGCCTGCTGCAGCACACCTGCAGCTGCCGCCAGCTCTCCCGCCAGCGAAAAAAAAAGAGGCACCGCTCTCGACACAGAAGGGGGTGAGCCAGGATGGCATGTTCACATATCGCTTTGGGGTGGATGATCCGAGATCTCAGGACGGCCTCAGAGAAGAGGGGGAGGAGGAGGAGAAGGAGGAGGGAAGGTCGGCATTGATCGGGAGGAGGAGGAACGCTGCTAGGCGAGGGCCTTCCTACGCCTACGCATCTTCTGCGATGCAAGCCTTTCGGAAGTACTGAGCCTATCATCTTCTGAAATCTCTGAACTGGGAAGTTTCTAAAGAGAAACTCTGAGAAACCGATCCCACGGAACACATCACATAAAACATAGTTCATCTAGGTTTTCGTTGGCTCCTTTACTTCACCTCGGTCTTGCACTTCTTCAGCGGGGGCTGCAGGGCTAAAGAGGGAGCTGCTGCTGCTGCTGCTGCTGGCGCCTTTTTCCAGAGCCGCCTCCTCCTTGAAAGTCTGCTCTGGAGACGGCTCGGCGCCAAGCGCGTCCAGCAGCTTCTTGGGCATCAGAATCTTCTGAACTCCGAGGCGCTCGAAAACGAAGCGCTGCGCGGCGTCTTTAACAACACCTGCGAGGGCCGAGTTCGCCAGCACGATGGCGCCCATGAGGATGGCGCCATCCTTGGCCGTCTGCTTGATTGACCCCATCCTCTCGATGAGATCGCCCAGCTTCTTGACCTGATCGGCCTGCAACCAGGCGAGGCTCGTGAAGGAACCTTTGAGCTCGGTGACGATGCGCTCGGCATTGGGCAAGTTCTGCACGAACGAAGCCACGCCCTGGATCTCGGCCTCCCTCGTCGGATCCTTCTGGGCCGAGCTCAGCCGCACTTTCTTGGAACCCTCACCGTCGGAATCGAAACTCCAAGCCGTGAGCAGAGACCAGATGTTCTCTCCGCCATCGCCGTACTTCTGCAAGAACGCCTCCAGGAGGCCCGCGGCAAGATCCGTGACGAGCTGATCGAACGTGCACGACCACTCCGTGATCAAGAGCTCCTTCCACTCCGCCAGCTCGCTTTTCGAAGAGATCGGCTCCACCATCAGCGAGTAGGATTTCAAGGCATTGGTCAGCTGGATGGTGCCGACGACCTTGCCAGACGTCTTTGCCTCCATGACCCTCTTGACCATGAAATAGGACCGCATGGCTTGGACGATGGGCTGAACGCCTGGAGGCAAGCAACCAGCCCGCTCGGTAGCCGTTTGCAGGACCCTCGGCGTCACCGAGCAGCAGCCGTCCGACGATGCCAACTGGGTGATCATACTCATGATTGGAGTGCTGATGGGGCTGGTAGCCACGAGCTCGTTGAACGTCTCGAAGGCGGATGACAAACTGCTGGCCTTGTCTGCTAGCCTCGGCGCACACGTAATGGCACCCTCCTGCACCCAGAGGTCGCTCCACAAGCAGACCACGTTCTCCAGGGCCATCCCAGGCATTCGCATCTTCACGGCGCTCGCGCGGGCGAGTAGATCGGCCCGACGTCTCGCTTCCTGGATCGTCGCCCTCTCAAGAACCCCGATCTCGAAGGTAAGGATAGTTTTCGCCGCGGCAGAGAGGAACTTGAAGCAGTCTGCATCCGATGTCATCTTGCTGGTGTCCCCCACGCCACAGCGGATGCCATAGATGGTCTCGAGGTTGCCCGCGAAGTTGTCGTAGTAATTCAAGATCTCCTCGAGCCCCTTGCCAGTCGCTTGCAAGAAACCGTCCTTCAGGGAAATGAGCTCGGTACTCGTGGTGCCCTCGGTGTCGCCCAAGCTATCCATGTGCGTTGAGAAACAATCGAAATGTTGAGAATGCGATTCGCTCGTGACGCCCACCATCAGGACCTCGTAGAGCTTCTCGATGTAGGATACGTTCTCCCCGCAGAGAAGATCATTGATGCTGTCGCGAAGCTCAACGATGCTCTTCTTGACGTCTGAGTCGAGCTCAGACCCCTCCGATGTACCTGCGATCTCCTGGAATGGCGATCTCTCCCACGCTGCGCGAGCCCAGTTGGTAGCGCCAGCCCCTACCCTGATCATGCACCGAACTCTGTTGCTCAGCTTCTCCTTGTCTGCGTGCACCTTGAGGGCATCGACCCTCAAGTCCCGAGGCATCTTCTCGTTGGCATCTACGGACAGCACCTTGCCAAATAATCGCATTGCAGTCAAGTCAGCCAGGAGTTGAGGTACCCATCCAGTAGCAGGGTCGATGCTCGAGCTGTCGACGTTCAGGTCGTTGATGCTGCACTCGCCGATGATGTGGTCGCACTGCGCCATGAGTGCCGTAAACTCAGTCATGGATATTCGCTTCAGGACCTTGTCTGCGAAAGTTAGGACCAAGTTGTGCTGGCACTGTGCAAGGATGTCGCCATCGCGCGTGATGTCGCCAAACGTCGCCACCGACATGTGCTCGCTGCCACTGCTGTACTTCATCGTCATCAATGTCGTCCTCGTCTTCAATCGTCATGCATCAACGCCGATACCTTGCTCGCCTTGGCGCTCAACCAGAGGAGGCAAAAAGTGGATGAGGCGGCAACAATCAATGCAAGGAGGAGCAATCGTCGCATTGCTCCCGTTCCTGGACCAAACACCTCCAGGAGCGGGAGCAATGCGACGATTGCCCCGGCAGGAAGACGACGAGGTTCTGGAGATGGCGAGGTGGAGAGGGGGAGAGGGGGGGAGAAGGGGGGAGGAGGGAGGGAGGGGCAGGAGGAAGGGGAGGAGGAGGAGGAGCAGCAGCAGCAGCAGAAGGAGGAGGAGGATGCAGCCTCGTGAGGAGATTCTCGTAGTCGCGCTGCCTGAACTTCTTGTTCCACAGCACGCTGACCGACCAGTTGGCCTCCGTCTCTTCGAGGGTCTGCTTGCCAAGCTCCAGCAAGTTCGCGTTGCCGCCTCCCTTCTGCGCCTTCCTCGTGCTCTGAACCTGGCCCTCGAGCTTCCATGGCGCCGTCGCCGTCGGCATCGGCGTAGCGCAGCTCCTCGGAGAAACGGGCGGCTCGCTTTCGGCGTGGCCGAAGCTGCCAAGCCCGCCCCTGCGCGACGCCCCACTGGCGACGGAAATGGCATCGTCGGGAGGGCAAGCCTGAGCGAAGGCAGGCGCCGAGCAGCTCGAAGCTGAGGCCGAGAAAGAGTCTGACGGTGCTCTCGTCGACGGGAGACCCATGCCAGGGGCACCGTCCTCCACGGCGGCCCCCTCGGCACCCGTGACCTCGTGGAAGCCCTCCTTGTTCGTCAAGTTCCAGTCCTTCGCCAGGCCCTGTTCAGCGGCGGTGCCCAAGTCGTCGTGATCCTCCTTCCGCACGATGGCCGAAGTCTTGGAGACGCCATGGCGGTACCTGTAGGACGTACCAGGCTTCTTGTCAGGCACAAAGACGCCGAACTCGCTGGTCTTGCCAACGCCAGTCTCGAAGCCAAGCGTCACGCTGATGTACTTGATGAGGCTCTCGCGTGAGTCGCACTGAATGGAACGGACACGGGCAAACGCGAAGAGCTCTGCGAAGTCGCCCTCGACGAAGGCGCCCTCGAAAGACTTCGACTCCTCAACTGTGGAATGTTTGACGTTCACTGCTTCGGTCAGTTGGCACCCGTCCTTGCCAGATGCATGATCTTCACGCAACCTCTCGTGTCTGTCTTGCTCCTCCTTATCCGCTGCCTTCTTTGCGATGACATCCTTAGCGGTCGTACCTTTCGGGTAGTACTTCTTGCGGACGTATAGGCAGTTCCCGCACCCGGCCCCCCATTGGCGTCTTCACGCCAGTGGTGCTGCAGACTTCACTCTTCGGCCACCACAAGTAAGCACCAGACGTGTGGCGGTCGAACGCGTGCGTGTCCTGATGGCACGTATCGCACGTCCTCGCACGAGCTTGCAAGTTCGGGTGGTCTGATCCATCCGTCTGCGCCTTGCTCGACTGCTGCGGCTTCTTCTGCTCCCCGATCAGCCGCGCTGGCTGCTTCGCCTTGGCCGATGGGGCCTTGGCCTTACCGTGCTTGCCCATCAACTGCCGAATGAAGGTGCCTCCAACGGGGATGCGAGCCCCCCGAACGCTGGAGGCCCCAGCGAACCAAGCGTCTTGGCGGTCGCTGTGACGGCTGGCGAACGCCAAAACGGCTCGCGCCTCAAAGGCTCTCTGGGAGGTGGAGGTGGAGGTCGGAAGGAAGGAGGGGATGAGCTGAAGAAGTTGACACAGGACCCCCAAAGCTCCCAAACCCCAACAAGCCTCACGAGCTCGAAGCACCCAGAGCCCTAAGACCCCCAATGTCCAAACGTCCGAAGAGCTTGAACGCTGAAGAGCCCCAAAGCCCTAAGTACCCCCAAGAACCCCAAAGCCCCAAGAACATCTGGAGCCCTGAGAGCCTTACCCAAGATCCCTCCCAAAGAGTGCTAGGTTGCCCTACGCCCTACCAAGATTCGTATCATGCTATGCCGATTGTCTACGGCACTACGGCACGCACTGCAATGGAATGCAATTGATGGCATACGCCGAACGTTGCGCACCGTAGTGAGCATGGAGTGTTGTGGCGACGTTTGCGAGTGCGTTTACTTACTTGTTTGCTGGAGTGCGTGTTGAAGTTGGATATTGGATGTGAGCTGCTTGCAACCTAGCTTGGATACTAAATGCTTGGGCCTTGAAGCCCGTGTCGGTGTATGCTTGTTTGATCGCAACCTGTATGTGAAAGCACGGCGGTCGATTTGCAAGTTGCAATGCCGTTGGGGGTGATGGGGATGCCAGGGCACGAAAGCCATCGCAAGGCATCCACCTACGCAAGAGACAAGGATGCACGAGCACAACGGACTACGCAGGATTCCAAGATGCACGCAAGCATGCAATTGCTCATGGCTCAAGGGTGTGGGGATGCAAGACCAATGGCGCTCCTCATTTTTATCAATCCCAGGCTGCGTACGCAGGCGGTGCGAGTGTAAGAACTCGCAGAAAGCCGAATCTGAGCAGGAAGAGTATATACATTTAAACTAAGGGCTAAGAGACATAATCACATCGCACGCCAGCAACTTTGGAATGTCAGTCACCCCAGCACGTCTAAGAGGTGATAAAATCAAGCATGGAAGGTGAACCATCGAAACATACCAAGCCGTCAGAGACATCGAAGCGTAGATCAATCACAGTGGGATACACAGCTCTACCAACCATTCAGTTAGGCATGAGTTGGGAATCCATGCCTGCCATGGCATTTGAGATGGCACCCCCCCTGGCATCACCAGCACCACCAGCGACATCAGGTGGCAAGAAAGATGGGTGTGTCCCCCAACCACGCAGCCGAACGCACAATCATCACGACGATTGTCTAAAGAACGCACCCGAGTCCCAGTGAACGCCAAGGTGAGGTCCAGCCCCATGTTGCCCAGGGCGGGCGCTGACTGCTGCGAAGGCGTCTCCAAAGGGTCGCGATAGCGCCCTTGAGCGACCCCCCGTGGCGGCCCTGGCGCAGCCGCGGACGCCGAGTCAAAAATGGGATGCTCGAACTTGATCAAACATCAAGTTCTTGGCCGTCAGCTGGGCGAGTCGGGCAAGGGCCAGGGATATCTTTTTTCGGACGCACCTCGACCTTGCATGGGATTTTAAGGGTGAGATATGCGTCTTTGGTGTATCCTGGCGGTAATTTATACAGGTTCATGCGGATGATGAGGCCCTTTTATCCGAATCGTTCCGTCATCATTTTCAATCAACCCCGCTGCCGCAGCCAGTGTAGCAAGAACAACATGAAATGTAAGTAAGGAACGAGAAACCACTGGTAGCGGACGCGGCTGAATTGTTCGAGACACAAACAGCCCTCCGGCAACAAATAAAGAATTGGATCCGCAGGCACGAGGGGCAGCGCCCCCCCTCTTCCTCCAGAAAAAAAGCCACAAAGCCCGAACAACTGAAGAACCCAAGCCCAAACCGCCCTAGACCCCCCAAAACCAGAAAGCCCAAATAACCCAAACTGCTTCGAACGACCAAGAACAAAAATCCTAAAAACAACCAAGAAGTTCTAGACCCACGCAAGCTACTTCCTGTCTTCCAAGAGCACCCACGAATCCACTTGGGCCAGCAACGCCTAAAAAAATCTAGAGAAAAACGCTGCAAAGGCAAATGGTCCGACACTCACGAGCGTTATTCGCTTGTAGCATGCGTTTGCATTTGCCGTGCACGTGGTGCAATGTACATGTGAATGCATGCGGTTGCATAGTGGTGAAGTACGCATGATTGTGTTTGAAGTATGGTGGGTGGTTCCGGAACGCTGGCACGCGGAAGGCGCGCGGGCTCAAAATTAGAACCCTCCCATCGGACGCCGTTTAAAAGTTCGAAGTAACCCCGCGCAAATACGCCAACACCGACGCCACGCGCAGACGACGCACGCATTCCCATCACGTACGCGCGCGCCCGCCGTGCATTGATCCACCACCTGGCACGCGATGGACCCGTGGCAATATCCAGTTGCCCCGCCCAGCTATTCCAACCCGAAACGCTAGGGCCTATGTTAGGTTTATCCAACCTGCGTCTTTATCGCTCACATGTTCGCGCTGGCCGTAGGCGCAGCATTGCGCGTCGCGCGCATTGGCCAGCGTGCTCACGCGCTGCGAACTCATTCTGAAGTCGCGGCCCACTTTGGCCAGCACCGAGTTAATCTTCAACAACGTGCCGTCATCGACGTCGTAACAGTAGACCGACCAGAAATATCCACGCGCACGTGAGCGCCCAGGCGCATTGCACCGATCGAAGCCGCTGACGACTTGCGAATTGCGAATCCATGTGACCATCCCATTGGCCAACGTATCGGGTCGACTTGGGACCGTAGGCCAACGCGCATGTTCTTTCATTCCCAAAGAACCGTTGCGCGCTCGAGTGGAACGCTACCCCAGCCGAATATTATGGGCCATTGTTCCCACCGAAGGCCGTCGGCCGCCGCAATGGCCTCTTGATGTCAAATCAATTCAACATGTCCGCGAACTAAATTCTCCCGCAGCAACCGCGCGTTTGCTGGTCGCGCGGCGAAGCCCAATGCCCCCGCGTCGCCCACGCGGTCGCCACTGCACCAACGACAAGATGTGTCGAGAACGAGCTTCTGCGCATGAGCCATTGCCACGCTGGCGTTTAGCGCGCATTGGTTCAAAGCCTTCGGCCCCCCGTCGCATCCACAGCGCCGTTGCGAGACCGCCGCCAGTGGGCGCGACCAGCCGCGCTAATGGATGCGCTGTCGCCGACGCGACGCGCATTGGGATAGCAACTAGATCTAGTCGTGCGCGCAGCGAAAACAACGCAGCAATCGCGCGCGGCAAGCGCGCGTGCGCGATGCACTTGAACGCGCGCGCGATGCGTCATGCGCATCGTTTGCATCGCGCGCAAAGCGTATGCTCCCTGCGCATCAATCATGCATCCATTTGCTGAACGCAAGACGCCATGTAAACCGCGTGACGTGCACGCGCCACACATGCA